TACTGTGGGCTATGTTTCGGCGCTATTCGGCACGAGCACATTTGAGATGTGCCGTCTTATTAATATGATAATATATGATATATAACACCGCCAAACTCTCTACAAATGTCGTCATCGCTTGGGTTATCCCAAAGAGCGATTTAAAGGCCAGGTTTCCACTGTTCATTATCCTGTTACGTTTGGATACAGCGCTTGAACTTAGGCATGGCATAGTAGATGTTTTACGGCGCTATAGAATAGAAATGACAGTTACGAGGGCCAGCGAGGGCCTTGTTTTGATATAATATTTGGCTAGTGTTTGTTTCTGGCGTCTGTTATTTTTTATTATTGTGGGTGCTTTACGTCATAGAACATTAAAACATTTTGGGCGGCACTGCACGACCGTGTTCTATGGACGAACCGCGCCTGATTCTAGTAGGCCTACTGGCGTGTCAAATAGCATGGGAGCTATTCAGAACGCGGGGCTGCAAATTGCGCTTGACGTCTTCAAAACATAAGCCTCTCTTACCTCAGGTAGCCTGTGGGCTGCGAGTTTGAGAGCCCTGGTGTAAAGACTTCTAGGTGAAGATGCTGATTTCAAATAACGATATCAAAGTTCGTTAATCTGTATGTTTTCCAAATTATATCTTCTTTGCTTCATTTGGAAATGTAGAATAGAACTGTAAATTAGTTTTTATCTTTTTCCCCCCATACCTCTGCTGCTTGCAACTTTCTCTTTACACCGTTGTTATGATGAAAAGAGAACAGAATAAGGCTACAGAATATGAAAAAGATACTAAATCAGACGGGGAGTAGGCCTATTGTACAGACACGACTTTGTTAAGTTGATTTAAAATTTACTCGACGTAGTTACATTCTTTAACAGTTACAACACAAAAAACACCCTGTCAAACAAAACAAAATAAAACAAACACGGAATAACGCTTAGATCCACATATCGACTGTGCCCGACAGTAAGAGTGTATCTGCCAAATTAAGCCAAACACCTTTTTTGGGGGGTGGGGGTACAATTTCTTAAAATGAAAAAAATATTACCTTACAGAATAGCTCAACATTTTGGGTAGTGTTCTTTTTACTTGTTATAGTACATGTACCATCAATCATAATTGCGGTTATAGATAGCATAATATCAGACAAAAAAGTATCTGACCTAATTTGATGGATACTCGGTTAGCGTCGGACACCAACCAACTGAATTCATGTAGCCCTACACGTACATGCTTATTGTACACGCCAGCAGTCACGAAGGGAAAACTTTATAACTTTATATAAACAGATTTTGTGAACTTTTTTGTTGTTGTTTTGTGGTAACATCGGGGGATCACGAGTCCAGCAATGGGCAAAGGGTAAGGGGCACCGAAGGGGATGCTTGCAACAGCTCCCCTCCTCCCCTCTTTCTCTTTCTCTACCCCCTTCTCTCTCTCTCTCTCTCTCTCTCTCTCTCTCTCTCTCTCTCTCTCTTTCGTTCTTTGTTTCTTTCTCTCTCACCCTCCTCTCTCTCTCTTTCTCTCTCTCTCTCCCTCTCCTCGTCTCCCTAGTTCCCCTTTCCCTCTCTCCCTACCTATCTATCTACCAAGCAAGCCTGGAATGAGTTCACTAGAACTTCAAGACAACCGGGTAGACATTCACAGCCCATATTCTTTTTTTTAAATGCATATAAATTATGCACTGACATAGGCGAGCGAGTGGGAAAATGACCCTCCTATGAATTGTCCTAAATTCTTGTGCGGTTTACCACAGGCAACCCATTGTCCGACTTTTGAATTTGAACGTTCGG